GGCTTATGGTTTGTTTTAGTAAATTTCATCCTCAGCTTTTTAATTTTTTCAATTTAGTCCTTTTCTTGTTTTTTTTCTTCAACTTCTCCCCCAAATTTTTCATAAAATTTTTTTATAACGATAAATCCAAAACGGTACGCGAAAAATTCTGATATTCGATACATACCGTTCCAGTAACAAAACCAATACGCATGCCGGTACGGTATTGACTACTTTGGGATTACCGCACGGATAAGGTGACAACCGTGCACAAGAGCAATTATAAGGGAACCCACACGCTTAATTAATTCATCTTTTGTCACTTCTGAAAGAATTACGTCTGTTTCTAATATTTCATTTTGCCTTTCCTCATGCTTTTTTTTTTTTTTGGGTTAAAACCTCATTTTGTCCCCTAAATTTAGAAAATCCCTTATTTGATCCCTACTATTTACTATTTTTTTCCAAACTTGGTCATTCCGTTAAAAACCTCATTACGTGTCTTGTTAATTCACAGTTTTATAATGACATGGCAAAATATTAACATACGTGGAAGGCAACATGACAAAAATATAATAACATGAAAAAAATAATAATATAAAAAATAAAACTTCAAAATTTCTTTCTTTTTTTTCTTTTTCCTTCTCTTTTCCTTTCTCTTTCCCCTTCTCACTTCCCTTGGAACCCAAGCATTGGGTTCAGTGGAACCCACACTTGGGTTCCTTCGAACCAATGCATGAGATCCTTGGAACCCAGCATGCCTGCGTTTGATGGAACCTAAGGGCAAAAAATAAAAATAAAAAAATTCTATTTTTTGTGTGAATTTTATTGTTTGATGAAGATGAAGAATTGATTGATGAAGAAGGCAACGCAAGGAAGAGGAAGGAGAAAGAAAGGGTGCCTATTAGGTTTGATTAAACCTAATACGCTTGGGTTCAAAAGAATCTAGGGACAAAATTTTTTTTTAAAATTATTTTTTTTTTTGTGAATTTTGTTGCTTGATGATGAACCCAACAATGGTAGAAATTGATTGAGATGTTAGGGTTGGTAGAAGTTGAAGAAAGGAAAGAGGAAAGAAAGGAATGGAAAAAAAAAAAAGCTAAAAAAGGTTTTTTTTTTTTGGTGGAATGAGTTGAAATAGTCATGTCATTTATTTTTGTCAAGCTGTTCATTTTTGTATGACATGAAATGCTTCTTTGGTTTTCTTCTCTCAATTAAAAATTAACATTTTTATTTAAAAACTACCAAAATTAATATTTTTAAATAAAAAAATTAATATTTTTATTTATACCTTTTATTCCTGAAAAACACGTCCAAGATTCCTGCCAGCAACGACAAAAAGAGGAGGAAGGATGGAGCAAATTGAGTTAAAAGAAAAAACGAAGAGTTCACGAGACACGAGGAGACTTAAGGGTGGGGATTCCGCCCGGGTAAGGTGACAACCGTGCACAAGAGCAATTATAAGGGAACCCACACGCTTAATTAATTTATCTTTTGTCACTTTCTGAAAGAATTAC